GATGAGTAATGAAGATATCACTGTGTAATCATTTGACAGTGTGGGGAATACTTCCGGTTTTATTATGAAAACTTCGAGACCGGAAATACTGTTTTCACCCACGCTAACTTTACATGGAAGCTGCCCCATATACAGTACACGTTCTCCTGGCGAGACCTCAAATCATCTTCGTATATCTATCAAACTGTAGATCCTACACATCCACTGGACGTAGATTATAAAAGTACAATATACACTTCTCGCTAGAAATCTAATAAAAAAGCATTTTAATGGCCAAACTATTCCACAATTTAGGATTTTCCAGAGAGGGTTATTTGTGAATACACGACCCTCCGGAGCATTTGCGATCGACAGGAGCATGTTGTTTCTTACACGACCACTAGAGGTGCTACACTTTAAAACGTGACTCTGGGTCGTATTTAGCTGCTGAACAATCAACCTATGTGGTCGTTTTTTGTAGGAGGACAGGCTGGACATGGAGCACAGGGGAAGACAAGACTAAATACACAGAAGGGTAATCACAGGACAAGACACAGCTGGGCAGGGGAGGCAGAAACACAAAGGCAACAGGTGAACACGGTAGGCTTGTTTGAGACAAGCGAGACCTACGCAGACCTGCGCAATTTCGATCAACGTCTTGCTAGTGCGTTGCATGATGGTTAGTCATTTTGTCCGACTTGCTCTGGAGACTCGCCTACATGAGACGTTGAAATCTCGCGGGACAAAGACGTTCGCAGCCTTGAGAGCGAGGCGCGGCGAGGCGCGGCGAGGCGCGGCGAGGCGGCACAGTTGCTCTCCACGGGCTGCGGAAGCGAAATGCTTGATGGGAAACGACTCGCTGGTATCTCGAGCTGAGCGCTCATTGGTGGTTTTTACCACGTGCTGGTGATGAAACTCTCCAATTGGCTCGGCAAAAGTTTGTTGTTGTTTTGTGTCAGTTTTACGTTATTTTTCATAATTGTTCCACAATGTTTATCATCATGAAATTCATATCTATATATGTTATACTATACTTGCACTGCTTACCGTTTTCATACTTTATATATCTTAGCATATTCATACACACTGTTCATACTGCTCACAGGCTGCTGTGTATATTCATACCCCTCACTGTTTATTCATCATTCAATTCATTCTATATTTTATTCTGTAGATTATTACTTTTCACTTTACTGCTTGTTGCACTCCTGGTTAGAAGCTAAACTGCATTTCGTTGTCTCAGTACCTGTAATTTGTGCAATAACAATAAAGTTGAATCTAATCTTGAGTTAGAAAATTTTGTATTTCCTTAGTACATATCTGACATTAACGATTAAACAGATGCGTGCATTCTTTATAAATGCAAACCGAGCCAAGCCGACTCCGGAGGTGGCGGATGCACCTTAAAGTTGTTTGCAATCCGACAAAAAACCGAGAAGAAGAAGAAGAAGAAGAAGAAGAAGAAGAAGAAGAAGAAGAAGAAGAAGAAGAAGAAGAAGAAGAAGAAGAAGAAGAAGAAGAAGAAGAAGAAAGCGAAGATGAAGAAGAAGATGAAGAAGAAGAAGCCGACTCGGAGCTGTCCGACTTCAGGCAAGCTTTTTGAGACCACCCCGGCTGCGATCGGCTATTCTCGTCTACTTTCGAGGCGAGCCGCAACGCGTCTCAAACAAGCCTAATGAGGCACAATCAGACACAGGAGGGCAAACACAGGAAGGAAGACCAGACACGGGGAGAACAGAATTTCTGAATAAACCCAAAACTTAAGGCGAGACACGGCAGGCAAAAACATAGTTTTTCAAGTACTGGCCAATTTTGAGATTTTGTGCTATTTTGATTCTATAACATGTTTTATTTCAGGCTTTTGGAAGGAAAACATACAAAATACACATTGAAGTGTTTATTTTACTATAGTTTGTCTATTTGCGTCTGTAGATTTCTCCTAAATTCACCAAAAGTTTGCATTCTAAAGTAACATAAAGTACCGCGACTGCTGTGTGCACCATGTCATCAGAGATATCATTGGAAAGCTGTGTCTCTCCTGCACAATCTCATCGGATCCAAATATGGTCATTTCCTTTGTATCAGCAACCAATCGTGAAAGTACAAAGGGGTCTTAAACCAAGAAACGAAATCTCATTGGCTGGTGTCAATTTCTGACAACATGATTCGTTCAGATACGTCACGTGGTGTGCTAAAACACTTCCTGGTTAGCTTTCCGAATGAAAAAAACTTTCACAGAGAAGACAACAACAATTGTCACTTGCACGAAGCAAGGTTATACAAAAAACAAATGACCCCGAACATGAAATAACTTCACGAAGTGCGTCGATGCGCAAGCTGTCATCCAAAGAACAGGAGGGTTTAGCTAGCGCCTCACTTCAATCAAAAAAAGGTCGTTTTCTCAAAATGAGTTTTTTCTCCTACCCGAAATTTCAACTTCAGCAGCACGTAGATACACCAAACCTTCCAGTTATATTCCTATCAATATTATGAAGGCTTTTACAGAAGGGTTTGTTCATATATAATTCATAGCCTGAATTATACAACATTGTATACTAGGGGTGTAACGGTTCACAGAAGTCACGGTTCGGTTCATACCTCGGTTTGGGGGTCACGGTTCGGTACGGGTTCGGTACAACAAGGAAAAGCAAAAATAAGTCCCAAATGCATAATTTTTTTTTGCTGTTATTTATTTTTAACAGTAGTGCAAGTTTTGGTATGAACATAAGGAACTCTAACATTTGGAATCATTAACTGTATTACACAGTTGAAAACAAACCACAAACAGTAACACACACACACTCAGATGGCCATATTATTTATAATGGCTGATGTCAAACAAAAAGGTTAACTAAGCTGTACAACTAAAAATAATGTCTTGAAAATATTTAAATAAATAATAAGAAAGTGTTTCAATCACAATCAATAAATGTTAATACAGAACTGTATAACATCTCCTGATGTCAAAATATAAAATAAATACAATGATAAATATAAAACAAAATAAAATCTGTACCTTTAGGAGCAATGTCTAACATGTGTAATTAACTTGTGAGTGTGTGAGGCCATTATGCCTAAATAAAGGTACTCAAGCTTTACTCTATTTTCAAGTTTTTCTTCAAAAAGATGAGTTTGTCTACGTTGTCGGATGTGATTGAGCATGTTTGAGCATGTTTGACGTGTTACCACTAGCTGTCGAACAACGCCGACACACCGTCCTCGTCCGATCCACAACATCATTGTTGTAGTCCACAGGGAACACGAAATGTTCCCACACACCTGATTTAAAAGAAGCAGGTGGGTCTTCTAGCTCCTGTGTGTTGTGTGAACTCGCCACAGCTACTAACTTTTCTTCTTCATGTATTGTGTTTGTTTTGTTGTGTTTTGTTCTTGTTCTTCATTTGTTATTTACGGGTGGCTGGCTTTTAGGCGCAATACCGCCCCCCGGAATATATATAGTGTAATACTGCCCTGAGTGACAGACTTTTTTCCCACTCGTAAAAAAAAGGCGTATTCCCCGTGTGACTGCATGTGCCGAACCGTGACGGTACGGGACGAATACGGATACAGTTACATCCCTATTGTATACCTAAAAACATGCGAAAATTGATATTTTAGGGCTGTTGACAGTATTTTCTGATTTATGGAGTGATAAAAAGAGATATCCAATATCCCTTCTGTAAAAAGCCTTAGATACTAATATGACTACAAAATGAAACAACAATTTTGAACCTGGCTTTATCCAAAGTTCAGATTTAGATTCCTGAAATGTGTTAAAATAAGCGCATATTTAATGAGATAATGAATAATTTGCATATTTAAACATGCTATTTCAGAAAACTTGTAATACAAAAAAACAATTGCCTTATGGTAAGTAATCAACTGGAGAAATGTCTAGCTGATACCTTTAAGTTAAAAAAATTACCCTATTCACCTGGAGTGTCTCGCCTTAACACACAAAACTCAAATAATGACAAATCTTCACGTTGAACTTTCCTCCAAAGTAAGTAAATATACTTCTCAAAGTGTTGAAAATATTATTTGAAAGCCTGATATACTATATTAGGGGGCAAACTCTGGTTCAAGCATAGCAGATGTCCCATTGTATAGAAGTCTTGAGAAGATTACCCAATTTGTTGATTGATTTACTATTCAGTGAGACACTTAGTCTCAATCAATTCATTATGATGTTAATTTGGTAAATGGTGGCTATTCACCATAGATTATTTACAGTAAAATAGATGATAATGTGGGTATGCTTAAATGCGTAGCTACCTTTGGGTTGAAGGGTCACCACTGTTGTCCTGTTTGTGTGCTGTCCATGTTTTTGTCTTGGAACTTTTCACACTGTTTTTTTAGATCATGAATTTTAACAGTTACATTTTGGTAAAATACAATTGTTTTGTTCAAAGATGTACTTCTCGTGCCACTTGTTGTTCCTAAAACAAGATGGTGGCGATCGAAAACCAAAGATGTCCATAAACTCTTGGTTGATGTCACAATGACTGAATCATTTAGACTACAGTTTATTTATGATGCACATACATGTAGTTTCTACACCCAAACATCTTCAGTAGGCACACACTAAGTCTCACACAGGATCTGCAATATGACTCATTGGTCTCGTTAATGGAAATTAAGATTGATAAGAGAGAGACAAGGCTAATGATGAAACATTTAAGAGTGATAAAGTTATCCCTCTTTGATGGTGAATGATGGAGAACTTATTCCCTCTGGGGGTTCACACTTGACAGACTGCAGCTGTTGGCGTGCCAGCAACGTGGAGTCTGAAGTGTTTGAAATATAATCCTTCAAAAACTTCTCTCTAAACACCATTCTTTATAATACAGCTATAGAAGCCTATGACTCCCAATATACAGTTTTTCATATAACCCAGTTACATGTATGCATTAGGTATACACTATACACAAGCATATATTATTTACATATAAATCATGGGGATTATGCAATGTGTAAATAATGTACAACACTGATTTGTATTGGTTATTTTGTGTTTCTAGATGGTCCTGTAACAGTGGGTATGAGCCTGGACATCGCCAGCATTGACACTATCTCAGAGATCAACATGGTAAGACAATATTTTAAGCACCACAAAACTACATAAGAAATTAAGTGCAGCAGTAGTTTTTAAGTTGTACACGTATCCTAATATCCTGTATCCTCACGTAATCCTTTCAACCCGGGCCCACCAAAGTTTAGTTTCATATATGGATTTAGAAATATTTCACTTGAATCATTGCAAGTGTCAAAACGTGCCAATCATTTAAAACAGTAAAACAGCCAGTAAGTGAAATCTATTTTTGGAGTAACAGGCCTCAACGCTAACTTTTAAAAGTGGTTGCCAGGCTGGCAACCAGGCATCAGCTTTTGGTTGCCAAACAGAAAATATGGTTGCCAATTTTAGTCACCTTATATTTTAAATAATTAAGATACTATACAGTTATACATCAACTTAATAATGAAAATGTGACACAGAAGAATGTTCAAATGCTTTATTACATGCCCAAAACACCCAGCAGATACATGCCCAAAACACCCAGCAGGTGAGCTAAACGGCCTGATATCTGGAGGTTAACACCTTAATTAACACCTATAAGATTATTAAACTATGTATTAGTGAGTTCTCATAACACCCAGCAGGTGAGCTAAACGGCCTGATTTCTGACACCTGGAGGAAGTCATCATGCTCCTGAGAGGACTTACGTATATACGATTATTAAGATTGATATATAGATTGATATATATAGGAATAAAACAACACTCTGGAACTGGTACATTTCTGTGGTAGCTGAATTGAAAATATTCAGCATTTTTATGATGAGAAAAATATCAGATAGATGAAAATGTTTTAGAGATGGTGGTAGACTGATCCTCTCAGTCAACCTTAGCAGAACACTTTCTTTCTGTAGGGAATGGAATTGAAGTCAGGACCTGCGAAGGTATGGATCATAAAGCCCCTCACTGAGACTTAAACATTTCTGACAACATATATCTTCTTCTACAAATCCCTCAAAAAGGAATTGAGCAAGTCACTCGTTTCTTGGTAATCTGTTGTCTCCCTTTCAAATGTGGGTTTTCTTGACCTTTGTGCTGATCCCCACCATAGATCCATTGGCCCTTCAGCATTGAAGTCTTGGATTGTGGGTCCCTCAAGTGACACCAACATCAGCCTATCCATCATCTCTACTTTTAGAGATGACCTCCAATCTGTCTTGATTCTGCTTAGACAGCTGAATCCCCTTTCACATACAGCTGAAGAGACTGGGAGAGCCAACACCACATCGTGTAGCATCAGGATATGGGCAAACCTCTCCTAGTGGCCTCCATAACATGCACTGGAAATAGAACGCCACCCTCCATTGGCAATAAATGCCTTCAGTTGAATCCACTCTGCCAAGACTATTCCTCATGTATAGGATTTTGTCTCTGTAGGACAGGTTGGAAGTGACTCCATAGTTGCTTGATGTCATGGTCTCCATATGCTGCAAGCTCTGCTTTCTCCCGTGGCCACTCCTTAAGGTCAAAGATCCTAGCAGCTCTCAAAATGGGTGTTGACACATCTGCTTCACTATCAAACCTCTTATTCATGTGCTGCATGACCGTTTCAATCACTTCAGGGTATGTGTTGCTGTCATCAGTTTGCACATGCGTCAGTTTAGTACCTTTGTACATGGCTTCAAGACCAGTGGAGTCTCGCTGGAGAGCAGCAGTGAATTCTGCCAGTTTGCTTCCAGGTGATTGTTTCAGCGCAGTCAGCTCCAAATTAGATGTTTCTAATGCATCCAGCATGCCATTGACAGTGAGGCTATCTTTCTGAAAGATAAGAGTGAGACTTGCGATGACATGCAGCAGGTCTCTCAGGAAATGGAGAAAACGCAAAATGCTGTAGTCTCTCAGGCGGTTTCTTAGAAATGCTGCTCCTCTATGGCGTTATATTTGTGCCTCTATCCTGAGCACGCAATGAAACATGTTGAGCATAGAACATGCTATTGAGCGTGCACTTGAACATTTTTGAGCACAGAGAAATATATTTTCTCTCATAAAACTCCTGCTCCGTGCGCAAGCAAACCACTGCACGCGCTCTCTCTCCCCCGCTCGCTCGACCTCTCCAGCCTGTGCGCGCTCAGCTTTGCCTGCGCTCGCTCAAGTTGTCACAGCGTTACAAATGTGCCACAAAACCAACCAATCGGAGAACTCGAGAAGGCCAATTCTGATTGGCTGGTCCAGCGCCATGTAGAGAGAAGAGTTGCGTCAGCGGAAGTCCAAAATGCTTGATCATCACGTGGTTCAGAGAGACTCAGAAAGTTCCCGGAAGTTCGTGGTGGGCCATTTGAATCACGATTTGAATGCATTAATAACAGGATAGAAATGCAATTTTTGGTAATTAGTGGTCAATAAAGGTTTTGATTTGCAATATCTATACAACATATCGATATGTGTATGTAGTTACATCAATGTGTTTTTGTTTTTTTATATTTGAGGATTAAGATAAAATAAGAAGTACTTTATTGATACCAATTGGGGAAATGTTTACGCTGCAGCAGCAAAAGACAAGGAGGCATTGTACATTAGACAGTTAAGACTAGAATTAAACAATCGAAAATGAAAACATCTTAAATCGAAATAACATAGCATTACAACGTAGAAAGTAGAAAATATACATAGTGTGAACAGCTATCTTACCTGTTAACATATACATGTTAGGCTAACGTTGCCTTGGTTAGAGCCTGTTGCTGTTGTTTATTGCTTTGAATTCTTTAAAACAAATATTATCTTCTTAAACCTGTATGGTAGTCAGGAGCATCACATCCTAATGTTTATTGATATATTTAGAGGGAGGGAAGGAAGGTTTCAAAATTCTGATTAGATACATTTCTACCATTTCTTTAATTCATGGTGGTTTCAGTAATCCCCTGGTCATTGAGGACACAAGTAATCTAAAGTACTAATGTAATCGTTATGACTTTCAGAAAGGACAGGAGACCCACAGGTGCCGATCAATGATTGTCAACTGACAGCACAATGAGTCAAAGGGCTAGCAGCAGCAGCATGATGATGAGGTTAAATGTGTTGTTTTAGGAACATCCATTGTAAATAAATGGAATTCAATAAACATTGAATAGCATGTCATGCAGTTTGTCTGTGCCTTTTCCTCTGTGTTGTCCGGCATATAGTCTCCCCCATGGTTTGCTGTGCTGCCTGGGGATGCTCCAATCGCTCAGAGAAAGGAGTATGAATGTAAGGTTTCCCCACTGACACAGAGAGGAGGAAAGAATGGCTGGCTCAAGTCAGCAGGAGCAATTTAACTATCACAAAAGACAACAGCAACAACATATGTGAGGTAATCATATTTTTCACAAAACGAAGACCACACCATTGGGAAGCTTAACGTCTGTTTAATCAAAATAAGCAACAGGGAGAGGCTTGCTAAACTCTGGGAGTTGAGACTCAGGTGCAGGGTGAGGGTCTCATTGCAGGTCTTCAGGCTCCATTGAATCCCCCCTGGGGTTATTGTGCTGAAAGAGGGAGACAGGAGAAAGGGTTAGATACATCTAGCAACCTATAGGGTGGGAAATTGCTGACCTATTTTAAACTTACCTTGTGTTTTCACTCTCACTTAAGTCTCTCTCCCTTTGCCATACATCCAAAAATCAGCTGAGCTGCAACATAATACAGACAGGTAATAATCAACAGAATCACAAGGACATTATATGGCTCTGCTAAAAAACACCCATAAGTTACGTTTTTGTTTACTGTTTGGAAGTCTCAAATATGCACTCTAAATCCATATCAATAGCGATGTATCACACAAATAGCTCTCTTCCTTATTATTGTGTAACGTTCGTTAAACTATATTATACTAGCTTGAACTCCAAAATGGATATCCTCATTTCACCACCTCCACCCACTACAATCACACGCCCCAATGTTATATTTAACTAATATGTAACTCCCTCCACCCCGGATAAAAGCACGTTAAGAAGCCCCTTTTCTCTAATTCCACAACTTTGGAATAACATTAAGAGAACGGATTAATAGGCTATTCATGGTTAACGTGTGTTGCTAACTTTATCCGGTATCCTAGCCTCATCTGTCCGGTTGAAAATTAACGCAAGCTCTATGCCCATTGTAGAACAGGAAACAGAAGTTGGTCCAGGTTCTGGTCAACCCAACATTGTGATAGAGAGAGAAACATGTTTTGTCATTCTGTCACCTCTAATGCTTACAGCAAGTAATCAATACCTCAGAAGGGTTCATGTACATGTAGGCTACGGTTTGTTAGCGGTTTGCTTAAACTACCCCTATAGCTATGTTGCCGGCTAGCAAACTCAGGCATTGCAAACAATAACATGATATCAGAAAACTAGAAATGTATAACTCACCTGACACTGTGGCGTGCTATTCTCTTCATTCAAGTCTGTCATGTCCTGTAAATGTCAATGATAGATGTGTAATAAGAACGTCAACAGTCTGATGGCAACCGAAAATCCCTCTCTCATCTCAGATAGAAGATATGATTGGAGACGACCAGCCAATCAGAATTGACCTTCTCGAGTTCTCCGATTGGTTGGTTTTGTGGCACATTTGTAACGCTGTGACAACTTGAGCGAGCGCAGGCAAAGCTGAGCGCGCACAGGCTGGAGAGGTCGAGCGAGCGGGGGAGAGAGAGCGCGTGCAGCGGTCTGCTTGCGCACGGAGCAGGAGTTTTATGAGAGAAAATATATTTCTCTGTGCTCAAAAATGTTCAAGTGCGCGCTCAATAGCATTTTCTATGCTCAACATGTTTCATTGCATGCTCAGGATAGAGGCACAAATATAACGCCATACTCTTCCACGAACTTCAGCTGTAGCTTCACATGGTCTGGCCTCAGCCACATGTTCAAAGTGAGAACTTCCAATGCTCGTTGCATGTGAGGAGTCCAGCGTGTGCCATCCACCCGGTTTGGTTTTAAGACCTTTGTCTCCAGTGAGGTTGCAATGCTCTTCACCTCCCTCAATACTTTTGGTGAGTACTGGTAATGCTTGTGGATCTTTTTCTGGATGTCCTTCAAATCATCAAGGGGACGA